ATTTTAAACTTGTGAAATGCTTCTCAAAATGCACATGGGTTATGCTGATGAATATCTGAACAATTCTGTTTGATTCCAGATTCCTGGGGAAAATTAAAAAGTGATGAACATGGCGGAGCATTTCCATGTCATTACCAACAAAACACAGCCTATATGAACCATAAATGACACTACAAAGATGTTGTACAGTAAGCCAACTCCTATGCAACTCAAATGTAGCCCTAAAACGGATGCACAAGAAGGCCAACACTTCACTTTATCTACATGGACTGTGTGTTTTCATCTGATGGGACTAACTATTTTATTCCCTTACCCCTTTATATGCCTTTTAAAAGTCTCAAACAATTTGAAATAATGAAAAATTGTGGTCTGACAAGCGCTGAAAATTTCATGACAGTTTGCTTAAAAAATACATTTCTGTCATAATTTATTCACCCAAGTTGTTCCAAACTGAATGAATTTCTTACACAGTTCACCAAATTTTTTTTCATTCTGTCAACATTTATTCACCCTTCTTCTGCTGAACAAAAAAGAAGATAGAGTTGATGGACCCCATTGACTTCCATAGTATTTTTTTTTCCCATACTATGGAAGTCAATGCTGCTTGTTTACAAACATTCTTCAGAATATCTTCTTTGTGTTCAGCAGAGGAAAGAAATTCATACAAGTTTGGAACAATTTGAAGGTGAATAAATATTGACAGAATTTTTATTTTTTGGTGAACTATCCCTTTAAGGGTCCATGACACATGCTGCGTTCACGCCATGTCATAATTACTGTAAATGCATTTCCGTTTGCTTTCAAAACGCTCTCGCGGTAGTTTGATGTCACACACCGATTGTCTGCACAGCGCCACTTCAATTTGAACACACCTTAAACCTGCAGTGGCCACGTGGTACAAGTCGTAGCTCTCAATTACAGGTTCACACATTGTAATTACACGTTCAAGCACGTGAAGGCTTTTTACAGTTCAGAATCGTTAAGGTATTACGACATGGTGTGAACGCACCAACATATCCAACTAAAGTTCATCTCAGCCCACATGAGTGTCACATCAGCATGAACATAGACCAAACAGTCCTGAGAGTGTATTCAGCCTCATTGAAAATACATTAATCAACAAATCTACAACCAGAACTAGTTGATTCCTGAATACAGTGGTGTAAATGTTTTCACAGGTTTCATAGCAACATTTCAACGCATCTACGAATTCAACTTATTTTACTATCAATTAAATATAAAGTAATTCAAAAGTTCTTTGGTGCACACAGAAAGTTTCAATGGTTTTCAGTGCTGTTGGACAGAAAAGTGAACTCTTGGCCTGTTGTAGATCAAATTTCAGGAAAGGTTTAACGCAGGTCAAGGCTTCAGCCTGTCTTGATGTAACAGTAGCCACCTGAGCGAACACATCTGTTGATGTTACAGTGTTTTCATCCGTTCAGTTCACAAACATGCTCTAAACCCTTTCAGGACATTCTGTAGATCACAGTTGTTAAAATACCAAAAAAAATGCAAAAGCGGACAAGCTCTAGCAACCTGCACTAATCTGTTTCACAGCCCCACATACACAAGCTCACATCACTGGCTCTCTCAACACTTCATGTGCTTTGTTAAAAGTGTATCCAAGTTCTCCTCTTACCATTGTGGCCGTCCAGCGCAAGTTTGTTGTCCAACTCCATAACTTCAAAGACAGACAAAACCAGACATGCTCTCAGTGCCAGGGGAGGGGAAGACAGCAACGCTTCTCTCTCTGCCTCGTCACCCGTTTGCCAGAAGAGCGCTGCCTCCCGTGCAGCCTGCCTGCGCTCTGTTCTGGCAGTCGGAGCAGATCTGTGCTGGGCTGAGCCACTTCTCTGGGCCCCACTCACTCCCACATGAGCGCCAGAGCTCTTAAAGACACAGCAGGGATTTTTTTTCCCCTTGCTTTCTCTCTCTCTATCAGAGCATGCCTTTCTACCATCCTCTAGATCTTATGGCTCATTCCTGTTATGCAGTTCATTTTCATGTTATAATTTACAAAGATGAAAATTATGTTTATTTCACAATATAACAATGATGTGAACATACGGGAGTTGAATTATTTTCACTGTAAAAAATATTTTCATGATTTGTAATCACAACATTTCTACTTTTTTCAAATTTATGTAGATCAGATAACAAAATATTTTGAGTTTCTGGTGATTAAATTAATCTCCTTCATTTTATTAACTCAATTTTTTTCATTTCAATGAACTTAAAATTTTAAGGCAACCAGGTTACTTATTTTTTTTAAGTTAAACCAAAAATTTTTTTTTTTTTTTTACAGAGGTTAGAGCTGTCATGTCATGTCGGCAGATGTTATTGTTAACTAAATTAACTAAAGCCATAAAAATAATTACTTTGATTAAATAAGCAATACCTATTAATTTAAGCTATTTCTAATTTCCATTTAGTTTAAGTTGATTAAAAATGAAACAAACTAAAATATATATAACTTCATTAAAGCTATACAGGCATATTATAGACATTTTGACACAAACACAGAACAAAATCACTAAAACTAAAGTGAAAACAGATCATATAAAAGCAAAATCTAATTCAAAATATGATCAAAAACAATTTATAAATAAATATTTCTATAATCCAAAATATGTTTTCTTAAGAATACTGCTAATCAATTTATTGGTTTTTCTTTATTTTTCACTTAACATCCTGCTGTTTTTTTGTAAAATCCCTAAATCCCACCTTTTTTGGAATGATGTTAGCAATATTAGCAATGATTTGAATTAATGAATCATCTGGTGTCTTGTTTATTATCATCATATTTCATACAAATGTGTAAATAATGAAGTAATAATTATTAATAATAATAATAATAATAATAAAGACCCTGGGCTTGACCGGAGGATCAAGGCTGGTAAATATTTTAATAAAAATGCTTTATTAAGCTGCAAAAAAAAAGTTAAAAAGTTAGAAAATTAGTGCAGAATAATAATAATTAATCAAAAGAACCCAAATGCTCATATTTTGCACATAATGAAATCAATATGGATCAGTATTAAAACAGAACAGTAAACCGTAAACAGTCTGTCATGCAAAACATGAATGTATTGCACATTTCATTAATTTAAGATTTTAAAGTACAACATAATTCAAGAATTTATTCTGATTCAAGGGGAGGTGCTTCAGAGGCATTATTAATGTTTATAAATATACTTTCTTTAAAACTGCTCACTCGTTCACTCAACCATGATCCAAAACCAAGTTAATGCCACAAACAAGAGCAGACACTACAGCACTTTAAGACCTTACAGACTTCACATCCTGAAACTTGAAATCCGATCAGACTGTAACACATTTCAAAAAATCCAATTTTAATCGGATTTCAAACCACATATGGATATCAAGTGCCTTACTCTTAAAAGCTACGACACAGATTAGGATGCCGCTGATGTACAGGAGTGTGTGTGTGGGGTGTTAAACGCCTGTGTCTCTGCGGGGGTGTGCAGAGTAAACGCACAGAGACATTTGCTGAGTCAGCAACAAGCTGCCAGTGTCTGACACAAGCATTAGCACAACGCTGAGCTGCAATGACACTATCACACAACAGAGAAGAATCTCACTGAGATCTGAAGAACAGTCTGCAATGTAAGAGATCTTTTGCCAAATCAGTTTTTTAAGATCTACCCATCATGATCATACACAACCATTCAAAAGTTTCAGCAAGGATGCATTTAATTGATCAAAAGTAACAGTAAAGATTTATACATTGTTACAAAATATTTCTATTTCAGATAGGCACTGTTCTTTTGAACTGTATATTCATCAAATAACTAATTTTTTTTAAAATAAATAAAATTTCACAATATTTTTGTTATTATTCTGTATATTATGCTGTATATTAGCAAATAAATGCAGCCTTGCTGAGCATGAGACCTCTTTCATAAACAAAAAAGTTTTAAGAACCTGAAATTTGAAAAGTTAGGGTGCATAACATTTATATGATGCTCTTGGGGGAAATGGGTTTCAAATCATATGTTTTAATAAAGACAAAAAAAAGATAGATAGATAGATAGATAGATAGATAGATAGATAGATAGATAGATAGATAGATAGATAGATAGATAGATAGATAGATAGATAGATAGATAGATAGATAGATAGATAGATAGATAGATAGATAGATAGATAGATAGTCAGACAGATAGACAATAGATAGATAGACGGATAGATGGATAGATGGATAGACAGATAGCCAGACAGACAGACAGACAGACAGACAGACAGATAGATAGATAGATAGATAGATAGATAGATAGATAGATAGATAGATAAACAATTAAACTTTTATCTAGCTATTATATAAACACGCTGGCCTATTTAATGCAATATGTCTCTTTAACCTTTTCACAAAGCAACCGTTGGCATAATGTGTCTCGTCCCCAAATTCAATGGCATTGTGAACCAGAGCCCCTATTAAGCAATTCTAAACAATAGCCATCCTGTAACACCATCATAATTATGCCTCCCACTGCAAATTACTGGTCTGCAGCCTGTCTGAGACAGATCTGGTCAAACTGAAAACACTGGAGTCTACAGTGCGTTCCCCCATGCTCCAGTTCACGGGTCTGTCAATTGGCGTCACATCTGAACTTTAACACAATGAAGGCGAGGGTATAATTTTGAACTTCATATCACTAAACATCTGCTAATATGAGTAAAAGAAATATATTCTGAAACATTACATAAATAGTGGCCAAATCGTATTAAATTGCACAATTTAACCCTGCCTTTAGCACAGCATTGAGTCAAAATTGCTCATTTAGAACAGTGTACTAGACTCAGCATAACGATACTATGGTAAAAGCAGCGCAGATCGGCAGCACCAATCAAGTGATCACGTCTACATTTGTCGTCCACTTTGCCACTCTATTACCTTTAAAGACTGTTATAAGAGTTTAATTGTCATCAAACTGTTTTTTTTTCTCACTGCAACATGTGTGCAAGCAGATCTTACTCACTGCTATTTTTGGTTTGGGTGCTCTGGTCCTTACGGATCTGAACTCCCTCGGGAATGCTGGTGCTACGTCGCAGGAGCCATACAGTGCAAGATTCAGCACGGCGCTCTCGGAACAGCAATGGACTGATCTAAGGAAAGGTCACAGAAGCCATTCATAGAGTTATAGTGTTGGTGAGCAAAGGACTACAATACAGACTCTGTAGGCTGAAGAAAGCTCATCTTCTGTGCTCTAAACTGTTACTTTGACCCGTGGACATGTGCTGCCCTCTTGAGTTTAAAGGGTGCCATTAAATGCAAGGTCATAATCAAAAGGATTCACAAAGCATTCTTTTTTAAAGTCATTAAGTATGTCTTTATGTGCATGTACCTCTCTTTTGTCCAGAAGAACTAGTTGACATTCTGCAACCAAGCAAAACTTGACCTGCCACCCGATTGGTTCTGATAGTGGCCGTCCACAAGATATCCAGTGGATTGATGAACCTTTCATGTCTGTAAAACAGAATGGATCGTATGAGAAATGAGACAAGAAGATGAGGCCTTCATGGATCAATTACAGCCACAGCAAGTCTAAGCAGTTAAAACGTGACGTGGCCATAAAGCCAACTGGAAAACTGCTCTATGAATGGACAATCCTTCATGCTTGTCCATGATTCAGTTATGAGTATTGTTTTGTATGAAAGCACAATGCTAGGTTAATTGAATTAGATAGTCTTCCATTTCTTTAAGTTAATTTACTGGGTTTAAAAATAACATTTAAAAGACTTCACTTTAGGCTGCACCTCTGGGACAATCCTGTGACATTCAGAACTGTTTTTAGGAAAATTATTCAATTTTGCTGGCTAAAGGGCAAGACACTACGTGCATATTCTATTTCTGAGACTTAGAAACATATGAAATACTCTAGAAGACATATGTTTGCAGTAAGACTGTAAAATATGAAAAACTATAAAAAATACCTGTTTTTTTTTTCTCAATGTTGGTTTCTTTTTGGTGAATTCTGTCCTCCAAACTAAAATTGTAAAAGTATTGCTTTTCTATCATGTATTGTATTGGAACAACTCAGTTATATTGTTAGAGGAAAGGGAAGACATTTTGAAGAAATATGCTCACCATTAACTGAGTTTCTAAGACATTATGAAGGGAATTAAGAAAGTAAAGCTGACTGCCGAGTTGTGAAATATTAAGCTTATGTCAAATTATCACTTGTTTGTTTTGTTAAAATTCAATAAATATAATGTTGAAAAAGTATTGCTTTTCTATACATTTCAGGTAAACAATTGAACACTTGAAGACAACATTTACATACATTCATAACAGTCAACAATATAATGACGTAAACGTCAGGCTGTTGGGGCAAGTCACATAAGATTTTTTTTTTTTTACTTATTTTTTTTTTTTTACTTTTTTTTTTACTTGTTTGTCAATTGAATACTTTAAAATGTTTGTTGTTTAACGCCGGTTGTTTTAAAAACCACAAAGAGTGAGTGACAACATGCTTAGACATGCCAAAAAGTCTGTTTAACTGTATCAATGTTTAATATGTAATATTGTTTAATAGTTTTTTGTAGAGACTGTAAGAAGTGTAAATACAGGAAATAATGACTGACTGCCCCAGTCGTCCTAATATGCTAAAAACAAAAACAACAACAAAAAAAACTAAACAAACAACAAAAAAAATATCCACGGTAAACATATGACAGACAAACTTCTTTATACAAGTAAACATAATGATAATATATCAAATAGTACTTTAAAACGCACATTTCAGCCTCGAAACAAATGATGTAGGCTACTCACCGATGACCCTCATCCAGCCCTGGTGCTGACAGCGGGTGATGTTCGGTGACATAGTAGGCCCACTAAACATGTCGCCAGTGTGCACTTTTCAACATGAAACGTTCCTGGACATTTGCACACATGATGGACGCCTCATAATGACTGAATACGCCATCAAAATTAACTTTTGGGTTATGTAAAACGAATGACGCTGTTGTGTTTGTAAAATTGTTTACCCGTACGAGGCGCGCGCCCGGGTCGCCGAGAGTGAAGCGGACAAGACGTCATGTAATACCTTGATTAAATTAACGGATTAAACTCTCTGGCGAAGAAAGTAACTAATCTGTCCACAAACACAAATCTCTCTCTTTTTTGTTTTGTATTTTTCAAGTTAGTGGGCTACTGAATTCTGGAGAATTATACACTGATTATATTACATCAAATGTGACAGAAATTAGATTTAGCCCTTTTCTTATTCACTTGTTTCCTTCTGAAGTAACAAACATAAATTCGTGCAGGCCTGGCTCATGAATATTAGTTGCGTAATGTTACGTTTGCCCGGTAAGCCTACCTGATTGGGGGATAGGCAGAGGTTGAAAGTTTGCGGCTCATGAATATTAATTGAGCTACTGGACGCTCTCATAGGAAGGTTAACAAAGAACGTCAGCATCACGTAATTAATATTCATGAGTTAACCTTTTGCCATAGGATGTGTAAATTATGACCCCATGACGACCGTCTCATTGACACACAGTGGTTATGCATTTATTACTTTTTTTTAATAGGAAATTAAAGCAGATGTTCTATACAAACTAAGGAATGTTACACCTGTGAAAATGAGGGTACAAACACACAAGATCACACCTTTAAAATTATTGCTGACAACTGTTTTAATGATCTGAAACAGGAATGAATGAATAATGACATGCAAGTTTACACATTTTATATGTTTGAACACTGTTCCGAAAAACATGTACATGTTAACCATGTACAATGTTGAGTGTAATGTATAGAGATAGTCAAAAAAACATTCAAAACTATTTTATTTTAATCTTATACAAATACATTTTGTCTCTCTTCTGAACCTTGTTAAACTCGTAACCAAAATATAAAACTCCTCTTTTAATGTGATCAAGTTGACACACACACACACAAAAAAATGTTTTTGTATAATCTGGGTTCAATTTCACAAATGCTTTTCCATTGGGGTAACATTATAAAAGTAAAAAGTAAATACTTGAAATATATTTTTATACATTTTTTTCTTCAAAATCAATTAGAAAATATAGGTAAATTTATCCAATAATAGCTTGCATAGCTGATAAAACATGTTAATAGTGCAATAATAAAATGGGGCTAATCTTATATCCAATTATATACATGTAAATAATAAAGTAGTTTTAATAATGTTGTGTACTATAAAACTAATGAAGTCAAATTATAGAACCTGACAGCTTTAAAACTTCACATTATTTTCAATTTTCCAGTCAATCCAATAATCTGATAAGAGGACGAATCCCCTTACATATCCAGCTCAAAAATAGACCATTTTGCAAGATGTAAACAACACTGGTCCAGAAACACTTCCTGTTTCAGTTTGTAACATGTAAAGAAAACATCTTAAAGAGTCAGTTTTATATGTTTTGTTGGTTGTATTTTATCCAAGCTTTTCTGTAGTGTTAAAAAACTGAAACAGGAAGTGCTTCTGGACCAGTGTTGTTTACATCTTGCAAAATGGTCTATAACAACAATCTTTGGAGAGCTTGTAGAAAACATTGATTTGACGGTCACATGTGGGTAAAGAGCCTAGAGATTCTATTGAAATGAAATGCAGATGATCCGTTTCCTTCTGCTTTCTCAAAGCAGGTCTTGTATATCCAATCCGACATGCCAGGGCATACAAAAGGATATCAAATAGAAAAATACTTTTCAAAGCAATATTTGCTTCACTTTGGTTATAATATATAAATCACCAAGAACAAATTCAAATACTATGGTTGAAAAGAAAAGAACGAAAGTGCTGACTAATATTTTAACAGCTAAAAAGTACCACTGTTAATCTTAGGTGAACAAATAAATGTCGCTATATATTCCTTCAGCAGAAATACTTTTGGAGATGAGCGCTCCATGTTTTATTAAACTCAAAACTTAACTGAAACTCACAGGGGCGAATGCTCTTAAACGGTTTGAATGTGAAAAACTAAACTGGAATGACTTCATGTTACATAATACTGTCCTTTATCTGCTACCTACTGTAATACCGTGCGTAAGTTACCAGACTGATTCATGTTTGTGATGTTTAAAGTGCCCCAAAAAGACACTGCAAATGACTTCAAGAAAAACAAAGACTTGATATAAGACCAGAAGATCAGAAAAAATATGTGGTTTGTGGGAAACAACAAAAACAAAACTAGAGCTCTGAAACTATGGCTTTCACAAAAGCGATGTAGGGAAAGACTATGGGGAGTTATCCATCTGCTGTTCTGTGATGTTCAGTAAGGTGTGGTTCCTTCCCACTCCACTAAATACTGCACCTTTCCTTCAGGTGTGATCCTACGAGCCAGAACCTGATACTTCTCCCCGCAGGTGAGCCTGCCGGCCGCCCCGAAATAGCTGGTGATTGAAGACTTGAGGTGAGACAGCGAGGAATCGTCCTCGCTGATGCTCTCGAAGGTGTGGCTGTCGATGCTGTTCTCCATCATGACGTTACTCTCTTCTCCAGGCATGCTGATGGGGCTGAGCTCACGTTCCACCATCTCTCTTTTTGTGGCCAGCACAGTGTAATTAGAGGAGGGCAACTTCCTCTTCCGACTGCCCACATTTTTCCTGTAAAGAACATAAGAAGTCACTGAAAAAAAAAAATGTTTGTTCATAATATTTCAAATCTTTTCTGCTCATCATGTAACCAGAGGAGATTGAAATCTTCACAATCCAAATCCTGATGGATAAAAATCAAGAACGGAGTGCTTACTTAGTACCGACACCAATCATTTTAATTAAAAAAAAAAAAAAAGGAAATACACTCAGTATACAAACTGCAGTGTTTCCCCTACCATTGGTTAAAATGCTGACGAAATCCAGTCATAAAAAAATAATTTACTGTATATTTTCAAGGAATAAATACTGTAGGAAGTGGTTCAGTACACTTGAAATCAAATCACGATGTAGACTAGTGTGTTTGTGTGAATATTAAACCACAAATACTATTTAAATATGAATGCTGCGTGCCTTGTTCCGTGTGAATGAATATTGCAGCCGATGTGCAGTTTCATTTACCACACACACACACACACTGAAGCACGTGTGACGCTTGCACTGTTTTTTGCCTATATGAAGAGAGAGATGATTGAACTACCTCTCCAGGCTATGTCCAAAATCTCCCACTACTCACTATATAGTGGACTATATAGTGAGCTTGCCATTTTGTAGTGCTGTCCGAATCTATAGGGTATAATAATCATCCCTATATAGTCCACTCAATGTATCCCAGAATGCATTGTGAAAAGTAGTGTACAACCGATGGTCACTAACCTAAGCCCTACATACCATCATGCATTGCGCTGATCGTAAAAAAGTAATCGTAATCGACGGTGCCGAGAGACGATCGGGTAGTGTCCGAAAGTGGTATTTCTATTATGCTGGTGAGCTCACTATATAGTGCTCTATAGGGGGTAGGGAGTAGTGGTTTGAGTGGAGATTTCGGACACAGCCTGAAAGTCACTTCGTGATCATTTAACCACTTCATTTGAGAAACTACCATCATGACATAAACGCACAGAAACTCAAAAGGTCATCAAGGCAACCCGTCAAAATAAAAGTTCGGTTTAACTTGACAGAAATATATTACTGTTGTACAGTTGAATTTAGATATGTCCCGATGAAATAATACACTAACACTAATACAAATAAATTATGAATTTTTAAACAAAAGTGAATTAAAGGAGTAATCCATGTTTTAATTTTAACAGTAAAGCTCATTGTGCAGCCTGTTATTTGACAAAATTATGAAAAAAAAAAATATGATAAAATTTGTGTTTTATGGCTTCATTTTATTACCAGCAAAAACAGAATTAGTGTGAATTTTTTTCATATATATTTAAAAAAAAAAGTTCATAATACATGATTTCAATTAATTAGACATGCTTTTTGATTGCTAAAAAATTACATGCCAGCTCCACAACACTAGCAGTATTTAAAAAAAAAAAAAAAAAATCCTATGGGAAACACTGAACTGCTCAGTATGCATTCTATAAACTGCAAATATTAGTATTTTTGTACTATTTTATTTTAGTTCTGGTCAAAAGTGCACTATTATTTAAATATTTTGTATGTATTATCCAGCCAAAAAATATTAAAGAAACTTATGCGGTGCAGTTGCATAGATGCACTGAAACGGTCCACCACAAGATGTCCCCGTTTAACACTGAATTTAAATTCGCCGTCCCCTTTCACTTGCCTCTGTGGGCGTTACGGCATTTTAAAGGTCACACAGCAGAACTGGACTTTAAGGTTTTTCTTTTTCATTCAGCGAATCTTCTGGGGAGTTTCCAATCTGCATTAGCTTCATAATGACCACACATTTCTGCCCAAGGGCATGTGTAACATGGGAAATCACAGCAAGATATCAAAATCCAATGCTGAGAACCTCCATTTCAGAATCATTACAGCAGCCAAAATGGGATGTGGAGCTAAACAGTATTAGTACATGAAAGCCAAGCACGGAAAGCAGATATGTGTTTGTGAAGTGTTTGATCTAGCCCCCAACTAGGATGCACAGTAGGGGACAGGGATCTGTCGACCCTCACAACTTTTCCAGTCGAGAAAATCCAAGTTGTGTTTATTTTCCTCCACCCTCTCTCTCCGCCTCTTTCTAAACACCCAAAGGAACACTGCGAGAATACTAATGAGCATTCCATATCCTAAAATAAATAACACAAACTATGGGAAAGTTTTCAAAGAGTGAGTGGGGACGTTTTGCAGTCTCTAACCATCCATCCATCCAAACTCATGTTCTGCGCACAGGCCGTTGCTTTCTTTGGTTGCGATTTCGCCAGGCCTGGTGCAGTGGGTGACAAAAAAATAAGAGATTACTAACTGTACAAGTATCTGGCCTGCAGGACATGAGGCATCTCTACCAGGAATCTGAAGAGC